GGCCGTGGGCACAGGTACAGCAGAGGTAGATCTGGACACAGAGGGATGTGCTGGTCTCTGCCTCCAACTGCCCAGACACTCAGCACGTCTGCAAACGTGCCACACCTGACTGCTGTCTTGCCACTAAAGGGAGACAGTGAGTAAGAAAATACAGGTAGAAAGTTTTGTTTAAAATATAAACAAATGTGAGGTCACCTAAGACAAAATCCTAACCAGAAATGCATCACACAGGTATGAGAACACTAAGAATAAAAAGAGTAAACTAAAAATAAAACTTAATTCCTAAAATGAAGTAGCATACTACCCTTTCCACTGTTAAATGTGAACCCTTTAAAAGCCATTCTCTTTACCAATCACTTAATCAAATAATATCTATGAAAACTGTACAGGCATCACAGGACTTAAAATATTTGCCGAGTTGGGCTCCTCTGCACGTGACTCTGAGTGCGTTCCTGGAAATTTCGCTGAAAAGCCCCAGCAAGCCCTTCAGACCAGATGAATGGTCCCCTGGTCTGTGACATTGGACATGCAGGTCACTTTGCACTTTACTTTTGAACATCTTCACTGGAGGTGAAACAAAGTAATTAGTCATATAAGTGCATGTTTGTGCCTCCCCAGAAGGGGACCCCTGGGAGTGAGATGCCACAGTAACCAGTACAGTGTCTCTGAGTCACAGTATCTGGGAACCAGACCCTGGAGGTGTGAACAGAGTCAGTGACCTGCTGAGCTGTAGAGACCAGCTAGGCTCCTGGAGGGTGGGCCATAGAGAAGGGTGGACTGCCACCAGCAGGGGGCCCTGTGGGACTGCCTTGTGGTGCCTACTAAGCTGCTCATTAGGGATCATTCACTAATAGGAGTCTGGGTCTGGTGGTTGGAACCAGTGCACACTGACGGGGACTCAGCAGCTGTTTCCTCTGGGGCCTGATAATATCCCCTGAGAAGGGGCCTCTGTGATGTCTCAAGGGGTTATTCCCCTCAGGGGTCTTGCAAGGGGTGAAGCCAGCCTCCATCTTCCTCAGTCTGAGTGTGAGTTGAACTGCAGCACCAGGGCTCAGGGAGGGGCTGGGCAGCCTGTGGAAGGACACACATTTGCATGGACAGCCCCTCCCTTGGCAGAGGGTGGGGAGAAAAGGAGGCCTGGGTAGCCCAGCCCCACTGTGGGCTCAGCGGCTGTGTGCACCATGGCCTGGACTCCTCTCCTCCTTGTGCTCCTCTCTCACTGCACAGGTAGGGACAGGCCTCAGGGATCAGAGCTCAGCCCCAGGTTCATTCCCTTCCTGCTCCATCTCCTGAGAAAATTCCCCTGGTTCTGCCCCATCACTGACAAGTGTCTGTGTCTGCAGGTTCCCTCTCCCAGCCTGTGCTGACTCAGCCGCCCTCCCTCTCTGCATCTCTGGGAGCCACAGCCAGACTCACCTGCACCCTCAGCAGTGGCTTCAATGTTGCCGACTACCACATTCACTGGTTCCAGCAGAATCCAGGGAGCCTTCCCCGGTATCTCCTGAGATTTAAATCAGACTCAGACAAGCACCAGGGCTCAGGGGTCCCCAGCCGCTTCTCTGGATCCAAAGACACCTCGGCCAATGCAGGGCTCCTGACCATCTCTGGGCTGCAGCCTGAGGACGAGGCCGACTATTACTGTCTTACGTTTCATGGCAGTGGGAGCAGCTTCAGTGACTCACGGTGGCTCAGATGACGAGGAAGTGAGACAGAAACCCCTGGGCCCAGAGGTTATGGCTCTGAGCCTCACTGAAGCTTCTGTGGGGGCCTCTGCAAGGTGGGCTCCTCTGCAGTCAGAAACGCCCATGGAAGGGGGCGGAGCAGCACACAGTCATGAGTGAGAGCACAGGGCGTCCCGGGTCACTCTCGCTGAAGGGGTGACAAAGCCCGACTGATTGTCCCCACAGAGTCTGCAGTAAATTTTAACAGAAGAAATATTTTTAAGTAAAAATCTGAGGGTTATCTTACTGCTGTGTCTTGTTTTGCACTCACACAGAACCCTTCTGTCACATCTGGTCACCAACTGTGGGAGGATTTTCTTCACAACAAGCAGTTCCCTGTGACAGCAGCTGGATGTTCCACCACACAACTCAGCTCTCCCACGGCTGCCTGGAGACGGTGTCAGGTTCACAGCAGAAGGGCCAAGTCCCACAGGACTGCCTGCACTTCAGGTGACGGTCACAAGCAGGACGTCTCCGGTGTCACACGAATTCTTCACTTTAACTTGAAGGCTCCCAGGGTCCCACCAGTTGTTTCAATTAATTTGTTGACTCGACCTGAACTCTTCTCCCTCCTCAAGGAAACGGGGGTCAGGGTTGTAAATTCCCGGCTTCAAATCCTGCCTCTGTCTATGAGTGACCAGTCCTCACCCACGAGCCCACCCAGAGCCACCTCATCAGAACAAAAGGAACACTTGTCACCCTGCAAATTTCAAGGTCAGGAGGCTGAAACCAATATATATTTTCTCTTATCTTGCAAAACTGTCTTTGCAAGTACCAGTGATGATCTAGACAGTCTTGTGAACCCACAAATTAATGTCATAAGTGAGAATCTTGTGTTATGTCTTCATCATGCCCACGGCCCCAGCCACTTAGACTGACCCTGGACACTGGGCCCTTGGGCACCCTCCATGACTGGTGACCTCATGACTGTCAGTGGTTCTGCTGAGCCCACAGGCACTGACTGTCCCCCTGTCCTCTCTCACTTCCCTGGGCTCCCAGCCATCCAGGCTGTGGGCTGGGCTGCGGGGCATCAGGAGCAGGAAGTCCCCAGGATGTGCCTGCGTTTCCTCCCCATGAAGCTGCTGATGAGCCCAGACCCCAGGTGAGCTTCTCCTGCACAGGAAGCAGCTGACACATGGGGGGTGACCATGGCAATGTGTCCAAGGGCTCCCAGGTAGAGCCCCCACATTTGTCACCTGGAAGAGCTGTGAGGGACCTTCTTGGGTTTGAGTCTCATTCTCTGAATTCTGTTGTGTCACCAGAACCACTGTGAACACCTCTGGAATCCAGCCTTAGAAGATGCTGATGATCATGGTTACAGAGCTGAACACGACCCAATGGCACAATGATGGCCTGTTCCATGGGGAAATATGACAAATGTGCCTTCCCTGTACCTGCTTGGTTCATGAGTCCCCTGTCTCTGCTTGTGACCAACACCAGCTCTGGATTATGATTCCGGTGTCACTTGTGCTTTGAAAACAAAAGGACTTAATTTTATCAATTTTTTCTTTGTGGTGACAATGAAAATATCTCCATTTGAAGATATGGTTCCCCCAGAGCACAAAGAATTGCTTTGCTTCCAGACCAAAAGAGCCCCCCAGTGCTGAGCGGGGCTGGGAAAGGCCCAAGTGCAGCACGTGAGACCCCAGAAGACCAGGTGGGCGTTTGTGCCCCAGTCTTGCTTCATGGGATCAGGAGAAAAGCCTTTCTCAGACACATGAGCAAGAGACTGTGGTGTGGCAAGATTTATCTGAGTTCAAATAGAAGGCTGCCCGTGTGTCACATGTCTGTCTGTCCTGGTATGGAAAACGTTCAACAGTGTCGTCAGCAAGGCCAGATCAAAGACCAGTATCCAGTGTCTGGTTGTTATTATAGTTTAGTCTTTCAGGGCCACACCATTAACTCTGGGCCCTGCTTGGCTGCTAGACCCAATTGTTGCTATGGAGACAGTGAACAAATGGGGCGATTGCATGTTTCTGGAAGAGGAAGAAGAGAGAAAGAGAAAGCGAGAGATACACAGAGAGAGAGAGAGAGAGGTCTCTTTGTTCCTTGGGAACCAGGATGCTCCTCCTACAAGGAGACGCCAGGGCATTAATCCCCTGGGAGGGTCAATGCTGCCATCCCCTGGGGAGAGTGAAGCTGTAGCTTCCTGGCTAAGCAAGTAGGCTTATGCTTCCCAGTTGATTTTGCTTAATCATGTCAGACTCCCTTTGCTTGCTTCCTTCCTTTATTCACACCCAGCTAACACGTGCACAGCAACCTACATGATCCCTGGTACCAGCCTGGGCTTCACGCGTACTTCTCTGAGCTTTGAAACCACAGAGAATTTGTTTTTCATCTGATTTAAGACCTTTGTGCAGTCTTCGAATTCTTATGTAGTGGGGAACATCACCCTCCCTCCCACTCAGCAGTTCTCAACAGTCTTATGACTAAGGAACGTGTACAACTAGGAATAAACATGTAAGATGGTGAACATAAGGTGTTAATGGGAAATTATACGTGTAACAATGAGGGACCACCAGGTTCCCATCAGCATGGCCAGCACTCACACTCTGACCACAGCAGAGGCTCCCAGGCTGTGGGGCGGCAGGGACTCTCACTGGGGCTGCGGGGACGCCCCAGCCATGGGCACCTTTGCAGACACTTTGGCAGTTTCTCACAAAGTTAAACACACTCTTGTGTGATACAGCACAGAAATCAGTCTAGCTTTTCATTTAAATCAGTCACTTGTGTCCAAACAAGCATCTGCACATGAAGTTACAGCTCATTCACTCACCTTTGTTAAAACTTACAAAGCAACTGCTAAGTCCTTCAATAAGTGAATGAATCAACAGAACACACTCTGGTCCATATACAATGGAACAGTATAATTGGCAACATCAGTAAATGATGTATCAGGCCACAGAAGGACACAAAGGAGCCTAAGACCCATATTTCTAAGTGAATGGAGCCAATGTGAAAAGGCTGGGACTGGGAGGGGCACAGGATCAGGGTCAGGCGCAGGGCAGGACCCTGAGCACCAGCACTAGCCTGCGGGTACCATGTCTCCTGTATCTACCAGACGGCGACCCTGCCCCACATTCCTCCTCTGTGAGTCCTTGGCCCTGACTCTAGCAGGTTTCCTGTGTCAATCATGGGTTGAAACCCTCCCACTCTTGTGATCTCTTTGTTTCAGCAGGAGCCCGGGATTTATTTAAAGGAGGAGCTTGTACACCTAATAAAAGGGAATATTTGCATAACGACATCCCACTCTGAGCCTCAGGCTGACATAAAGTCTGAAGACTCAGGCCTGGCTGTGGGGCTCAGGAAGCAGAGTCTGGGGGCATCTCCACCATGGACTGGGCTGTACTTCTCCTCACTGTCCTGGCTCACTGCACAGGTGGGGCCTGAGGGGGATTCTGGGAGGGCACCACCTTGTCCCCTGGCTTGATGTCATCTCCTCCCTCCCTGGGAACAGGGTCTGTCCTGTCCTCACTGATCTCTGTGCTGCTCCTCCTTGCAGGGTCTTGGGCCCAGTTTGTGCTGACTCAGCCCGGCTCTGTGTCTGGGTCTCTGGGACAGAAGGCCACCATCTCCTGCACTCGCAGCAGCGGCAACATTGGGAGCAGATATGTGCACTGGTACCAACAGCGCCCAGGCAGGGGCCCCACCACTGTGATCTATGATAATAACAAAAGACCCTCTGGGGTTCCAGATCGGTTCTCTGGCTCCATAGACAGTTCCTCCAACACTGCCTCCCTGACCATCTCAGGGCTGCAGCCTGAGGACGAGGCTGACTACTATTGTCTGTCTTCTGAGAGTAGTGGTTATTACATGGTGCTGCAGAGTCAGGGGGAAGTGAGACCAAAACCCCCAGAGCTTCCCCTTCTGGGTCTGCACTCAGCCTGTCCCCAACAAGGATGGTGCTCTCTTTTGTCTCCTGCTGGAAAGTTTGTGTTGAGATTGCAGGGTTCTGAGTCCCTCTATTTTCATTCCACCTTTCCCCATGTCAGGGAGGTTGGTTGTCTCTTTTCTATACAATGGATTCCTGAGGGTGAGTTAGTTCAGAGCAGGGTGTGTGAGCCTGTGTGTTTGTGGAATGAGGGTGGGTCAGTGCTTGTGGAGGGTCTGCTCTGTGCATGTGGGACACTCAGATGCTTCTTTGGACTCTGTTCATAGATGACAGTGGCACCCTCTTGTGTAGTTACGACGCACTGAACCCTCCAGATTTCCATATATGCCTAGACGGGGCCCAATCCCCCTAGGTTAGAGCCACGGGTTAAAAGGACAAGTTCTCAGCTGTTAGCCAGCCTTTGCCTTTGAGTCCTGTTCATGCCAGTCAGCTGGACAGAGACTAATGTGCCGTCTCTCTGTGCTTCTGAGTTCCCGTCTGTTAGACAAAAGTGTCACACTGATTCACGTGAGGTCAGAGCCTGTGACCCAGTCATGTGGACAGTCCTGTGAATCAGTGTGAAGGACAGCAGGAGGACAGGTAGTGTGGGGGCGGGAGGTTAGGGGGTGAAGGGATTGAGCAAAGGGAAAGGACTCATGGGCATGGACAATGGTGTGATGATGGCTGAGGAGAGGAGAGTATAAGAGGACTAAATGTTAATGGAAACTAATATAATAAAGATTAAATAAAACAAACAGAAAACCAAACACAAATCCATGAGTGAAGTACAATTTTTGGCCAAAATATGTGTGCAGTTAGTATATTGAAATTGTACACATTGCAGATAACACATTTCATATGTTTTCATTTATTCTCTAGAAGCACATTTCAAGCCTGAGACCCAGAGATGAATGGGCACATGACAGGGTCTCGTGCCCTTGGGGTCAGGTGCGTGTGGGTCCTGGAGACAGACAGGAGCAGCGGGTGGGTGAGGAGCAGACACTGAGGACAGAAGACAGCACGGCCCCCTTGAGCACGTGACCTGCCCAGGGCAATGTGGTTGTTTGAGTGTCTGCTCACATTTCACTTAAATAACAGTCTGTAAGGTCATCGGTTGTCACCTGGGACTAACACACAGCTCAAAATTCACCATTTGATCAACAAAATGTAATATTCAACTTTTCAACCCAAAGTCTCACAAAGGACTCTACTGCAGAAACTCATGGAGGAAGAGGCATACATTTGAAATGCTGTGTGAACAGACAGGATTCTGCCCTGTGATGTGGGTTAAGGAAACTGATAAGTGATGGTCCGAGGCCGTGTGTGCTGGTCTGGACTTCCTTCTGCTCCCACGTGTCATCCCTGAACCTCAGGACTCCAGACACAGGAGGCCCTGTTACTCCTTCTCTCTCTCACTCAGCACAGCAGCCAGTCAGCTGATCATTCTGGAGATTTCTACACACGTACATTCATGTGACAGGAGGTGGTACCCCTTCCTGTCCTGTGCCAACAGTTTGGGGACACACATGCGTATTTATGCTAGAACATGTGCTGATAAAGGGACATGTTGTGTGTTCCTGTTCTTTTTTGAAAGATTTTATTTATTTATTTTTAGAGAGGGCAAGGGAGGAAGGAAGAAAGAAAGAGAAACTTGAGTGTACGGTTGCCCCTTGGGTGCCCCCTACCAGAGACCTGGCCTGCAAAGCAGGCATGTGCCTTGACTGGAAATTGAACCAGAGACCCTTGGTTTGCAGGTTGGCACTCAGTCCACTGAACCACACCGGGAAAGACACTGGCTGTTTGTGTTTATAAGTCAGTAGATACAGAGGATAGGAGATTAAACAAGATGAGTCCCATGCATGGGGGTTGAGGTGGTGTAATTGATGCAGGCTGTTCTTTGAACTCTTCTCTATAGTTTGTGTGACTTCAACATTGTCATATTAGTTCCCTTATTCTGTCCATGATGATGATGTGTGTGTGCTCTACTACTACTGAGAGCCACTCAGATTTGGCCAAAGGTGAGCTGCACCATGATTTGAGTTTTAATCCTATTTCTTTCCAAAGGACAGAGGAGGAGACACCTTGAGCACCATGAAGGGACAGGAGTCTGGGATCTGAAATAACAGGGAAGTGGAGGAGTTGGGGGTCTGAGAGCACGTGGAGGGGCTGTGTGGTGGGTAGAGGGGATGGGCCTGACCATGAGGGCCCCTGAGGGGAGTTCAGGAGTTGGGATTCTGTGCAAATAGCAGTGGGGAGTCCCTGAAGGTTTTAGGTAGGGGGTGACCAGTCTGAGATGAGTGAGAAAGACCCTGCGAGTGCCTTGAGGGGAGAGTGCCCGAGGTGAGAAAGTGATCCTGGTCAGAGTCATTGACTAGGAGTCCCGTGAGTTTAGACATGTGGGGACCATGGGACCATGGACACAGGTACAGCAGAGGTGGATCCAGGCACAGAGGGATGTGATGGTCTCTGCCTCCAACAGACCAGACACTCAGCACGTCTGCAAATGCATCGCACCAGACTGGTATCTGGTTAGTAAGGTGAGACGATGAGTAAGAAAGTTAAGGTAGGAAGTTTTGTTTAAAATACAAACAAATGTGACATCACCTAAGAGAGAATCCTAACAAGAAACTGAATACACAGGTATGTAAAACACTAAGAATAAAAAATGAGAGAAAACAAAGAAGAATAAAGATTAATTCCTAAAATGAATTAGGATGGTGCACTTTCCACTGTTAAATGTGAGCCCTTCAAAAGGAATTCTCTTTAGCAATCACTCAATCAAATCACATCTGTGAAAACTGTGCGTGCATCACATGACTTGACATCTTTGCTGAATAGGTCTCCTCTGCCCCTGCTCCTGAGTGTGTTCCTGGCAAATGCTCTGTGCAGCCTGTATAAGCCATCAAACCAGATGAGTGGTGCTCTCATCTGTGACATTGGACGTGAAGGTCACTGTGCATTTACCTTTGCAATATCATCACTGGCTGTGAAAATAAATTAATTTGTCATTTACGTACAAGTTTGCACCTCCCATAGTTGTGGATTCCTGGAGTGAGATGCCACAGTAACCTGTACAGTGATCAGAGTCACAGTATCTGGGAACCAGACCCTGGATGTGTGACAGAATCAGTAACCTGCTGAGCTGCAGAAACCAGCTTGTGCTTTGGGTCATGTTGGGAGGTGTTGCTACTGCCACCAGCACGGGGCGCTGTGGGACAGCCCTGCTGTGCCTACTAAGCTGCTCCTTGGGGACCATTCACTAATAGAGCTTTTGTCTGCTGGTTGGAACCAGTGCACACTGACAGGGACTCAGCAGCTGTGTCTTCTGGGGCTTGATAATATCCCCTGAGAAGGGCCCTCTGTGATGTCTCAAGGGGTGATTCCCCTCAAGGGTGTCCCAAGGGGTGAAGCCAGCCTCCATCTTTCTCAGTCTGGGTGTGACCTGAGCTCCAGCACCAGGGCTCAGGGAGGGGCTGGACACATATTTGCATGGACAGCCCCTCCTCTGGCAGAGGGTGGGGAGAAAAGGAGGCCTGGGTAGCCCAGCCCCACTGTGGGCTCAGGGGCTTTGTGCACCATGGCCTGGACTCCTCTCCTCCTCGTGTTCCTCTCTCACTATACTGGTAGGGTGGGCCTTGGGGACCAGGCCTCTGTTCTGTTTTATTCCCTGCCTGCTCATTTCCTGAGAAGCTTCTCCTGGTTCTGCCCTCTAAGTGACAAGTGTCTGTGTTTGCAGGTTCCTTCTCCCAGCCTGTGCTGACTCAGCCGCGCTCCTTCTCTGCATCTCCGGGAGCAACAGCCAGACTCACCTGCACCCTCAGCAGTGGCTTCAATGTTGCCGACTACCACATTCGCTGGTTCCAGCAAAAGCCAGGGAGCTCTCCCCGGTATCTCCTGAGATTCAAATCAGACTCAGACAAGCACCAGGGCTCCGGGGTCCCCAGCCGCTTCTCTGGATCCAAAGATGCCTCGGCCAATGCAGGGCTCCTGCTCATCTCTGGGCTGCAGGCTGAGGACGAGGCTGACTATCACTGTGCTACATATCATAGCAGCTCAGAAAGTTACACAACGCTTCCGACCCATGGGGAAGTGGGACAAAAACCTCCTTACTGCTCTGCTCACAAAGGAAGCCTGGGAGGTTCCTCCACCTTCCCCTGCACTGGGTGGGCTCTCACAGCTGCACACACAGAACCTCATGAACATTCCTCAGTTCTGGGACAGGGAGCCTTGGGCACAGCCACGTCCAGGTCAGCAGAGGTGCCAGCCCATAAACCCCACCCCCTTGCTGCTCACAGTTTACTTCCCAGCTCCAAGAAGAATTTAATCTTTGAGTTCTCACCTGGGAAAGGAGAGCAGAACATTGTCTACTTCATAGGGTTGTGGGAGGATCATATGAAATTCTTATTAAATTCATGTTAAATTAGTAGTGCTAATTCTTGCCTCTGGATTCACAGCTACACGAACTCTGCTTATTCTAGGAGCAAATACTTCAGAAATATTATTGTTCTATTTCTTTTCTAACTCCTGCTCCCCCCTTTCTCTCCTTTCCAAGACTTACACAATGGAGAAAATTGAAAGAGAACTTGTTTTTCATTTCAAAAAGTCTGGATTGAAAACCCACATATTTCAAGCCCTGGACATGCATCATGGACATGCTTCTGAATTTCTCTGCATGTCAGTGGCGTTATCTGCAGCGTGAACATATAGTACTTTCCACATCAGCCTGGTGGGTAGAGCACCTGGGACGCGGGGAACAGGTCATTGAGTGCGTACCTGGGCACATGGGAGTGACAAGAATTGGCAGTGCTGTCCTCTCTTCACGACCCCAAATGGCCACTGGACTCTCCTGTTTAGCCTGGGTCACCCCAGCTGCATTATGCAGAGAGCCTGGAGGAGGAACTTGTCAACCATACAGACAGTTTAGACTCAGAGGGGAGAGCTCTCTGAATGCAGAGAGGAGCAGAGTGGACATTTGGGCAGACATTGATGAGGTTCTCATGTGACCTATGGGCTCCTGGGGGAAATCTAACTGGAGCAAATACAGATGAGTACCCATAGACCCTGCCTTCTGTGAGAAGAGGGAAAGTCATTGTATCCTCCACAACCCGGGTCCTTAGGGTCCACTCTGTTCCAAACCCTGATCTCTGTGTGTGGGGAGAGGCGGTAGTGGCAGAGCAGGAAGGTCTGGTAGCTTAATAAGGAGAGAGGTTCTTCCTTTGAGGGACATAGAATTCTCTGCAACTACAGAAATGAAGCTTCTGAAAGGTTTTCCCATGTTTATGTGGGTGGTATAAACACTTAATTAGCTTTGGAATATATATTGTTCATTTGTGTGTATGTAACTTCTTCCTTAACATTCTTCTGGAAAGGTTACTTAAAAGACTTCCAGTTTCTGATCCACCAGAAAAGGAACTTGGAACTAGTCACTCCATCCTAACAGGTGAGAATCTGACAAACAGGAGAATCAATAAGTCTTCTGATATCCTTCAGAGAGGTGCGGTCACTGACCCCAAAACTGTGGAGACAGGCACGTGAATACAGACAATCACAAGCTGTTGCAGCAGAAACAAACCTCCATGGCGACCAGTGCTCAATCCAAAAACCTAAACTGTGCTGATGAATAGCTGGAGGTGGACAAATCTCAGGGTTAAAAACTCCTGGAGGTCGGGGAACAACTCATAAGGGAAACTCCACACTTTCGTGGACGGCCCTCCACAAGGATAGCCCTCAGGAGAAATGGTCCTCTAACAGTGGAGTGGCAAACTATTTGAGGCAAAAACTGTTAGAATGCCAAGGAGAAACAGAGGGACTCCACAATCGTCCTGGAGAGTTTGTACAGTATCTGCCTCAGATCCAAATAGAGTTAAACTAGAAATCAGTAACAAGCAGCTGGAAAATCTCCCAAACACTTGCAGATTCAATAATACACTTCTGAACAACACATGTGCCAAAGAGGAAATCTCAAGAGAATTTTGAAAAAATTGAACTAAATGAAAATAAAACATCAACATTGGTGACATGTGGCAAAATGGGTGCTTAGAGGAAAACATTGCTGGAATGCAGACAGTAGATAAAAGAAAGATCTACAAGCAATAGTATAAGCTTCCACTTTGGAAAACTAGAAAAAGAAGGACACTTTAAATAAAGAATAGCAGAAGGAAATAAATAATAAAAATCAGACATAAATCAATGAAACTGGAAACAGTTAATTAGCAGTGAAAATCCACAAAATCAAAAGCTGGTTCTTTGAAAAGGTAATTTGTAAATCCTTAGGTACACTAAGGAAAAAGAGAGAAGATAAAAATTACTAATATTCCAAAAGAAAGGAAGAGTACTGATCCCATGAACATTAAAATGATAACACAAGAATACTATGAACCAGTCTTTGAAAGACACAGTCTACTCGAAGCTCACTCAAGAAGGAACAAGCAATCTGAACAAGTGTACACCAATTTAAAAAATTGAATCTATAACTGGTAACCTTCCAAAATGGAAGGAAACCAAGTTCTAGTGAGTTCACTGGTGAATTCCACCAAACATTTAAGAAAAAAAATTATACCAATCCTCCACAGGCTCTTCCAAAAAATAGAAGCAGATGGAATATTTCCAAACTCATTTTACGAGAAGAGCATTAACCTAATACTAAAACTGGTTAAAAACATCACAGAAAAAATTATAACAGATCAATATCACTCATGGGAAGAGATGTAAAAATCCTCAACAAAATATTAGCCAATTGAATACAAAAATGTGTAAAAAATTACACACCATGAGCAACTGGCACTTATCCCAGATATGTTCAATATTCAAAAATCAATTACTGTAATTCAGCACATCAACAGGATGAACAATTTCAAACACATAACCATATCAATTGATGCAGAGAAAGCATTTGACAAAATTCAACATCCATTCATGGTAAAAACTCACACAAACTCAACATAGAGGGAAATACATCTACAAACGACCTATAGATAACGTCATGCTAATGGTATGCTGATAAGCTCTTTTCCTAAGATTAGAAGCAAGGCAAAGATGTCCCCCCTTACCACTCCTCTAAACATTGTCATAGAAGTTTTAGCTAATGAGACTAGGAAAAGAAATAAAGGTTATACAGTTTGAGAAGGAAGATATACAATTATCTGAATGACACAATGAATGACACAGTTGTCTACAAAGAAATCTGAAAGAATCCACAACAACAACAAAACCCCTCCAGGAGCTAATAAGCAATTATAACAAAGTAGTAGGACACAGCGTTAATATACAAGTGTTGACCACTTTCTTACATATCAGCAATGAAGTAGTGAGTGTGAAATGAAAAGCACAATACCATTCACATTATCGCCCATTAAATGAAATACTTAAATGAAATATAAATGTAACAGTATATGCTCAACACCCATGGAAGGAAAACCACAAAACTCTAACAAAAGAAATCAAAGAAGAATTAAATAAGTGGAGAGAGATCCCGTGCTCACGGACAGGAAGACTCAATATTGTCCAGATGTCAGTTCTCTGCAAGTCGATCTACAGATTCCATGCAATCCCAGTGGAAACTTCAGAGAGTTATTTTGTAAATACCAACAACGTTGTTCTAACAGTTTCTATGGATAAGGAAAAGATCCAGAATAGCCAAAACAACATCGAGACAGAAGAAAAAGCTCTGAGGACTGACACTACCTAATTTCAAGACCGACTGTAAAGGTGCAGTGAGCAAGACAGAGCGGCATTAGCAAAAGAACAGACAGGCAGACCAATGGAACAGAACAGAGAGCCAAGAAACAGACCCACACAAGTACAGTTCACTGGCACTTGGCAATGGAGCAAAGGCAGTGCAATGGAGGAAGGGTAGTCTATCAGCAAATGGTGGTGAAAAACTGGATATCCATATGCAAAACAAAACAAAAATCTAGAGACAGACCTAACAATCTTTATAAAAATTAACTCAAAATGTATAGGCCTGAGTGTAAAATGCAAAATGATAAAATGCAGAAGAGAAAACAGGGAAAAATCAAGATGACCTTGTGTATGGTGATGACATTTTCATTACAACACCAAAGTCACAATCCATGAAAAAATTGATCAGCTGGGACATATTAAATTTAAGTCTTCTGTTGTGACTCAGGCACTGTCAGGAGAATGAGAAGACTGGCACAATTCAACTTCTTTCTCCCACAGAATAAGAAGAAACATTTGCAAAAGACAAATCTAATAATAGGCTGTTAACCAAATTATACAAAACTCTCTCAAAAATCAAAAATAAGAAAAGCCTATTAAAGATGTGAAAGAGATTTGGGCAGCCATTTCACCAAAGAAGACATACAGATGCAAATGAGCATATGCAAAGATGTTCAAGAAGACATGTCACTAAAGATTGCAAATTAAAGCAACAATGAGATACCACTAAACACCTATTTGATTGGGAAAAATCAAAACACGGACAACACCAAATGCTGGCAAGCATGCAGAGCAAAAGACACTCTGTTTCATTGCTGGTGGGAAAGTAAAATAGTACAGCTATTTCTTAAAAAGTTTGGTGGTTTGTTATAAAGTTAAAAATAATCTTGTTATACAATCCAGCACTCAAATGAGTTCAAATTGATGTCCATCAGAAACCTACGGAGGGATGGCATAGCACCTGTTCATAAATGCCAACACCTGAAAGCAACTGCGGTGCTCTTCAGTAGATGATAGATAAACCATTGTAGGTACAGTGAGTGGAATATTATTTATCCCTGAGAAGAAAGAAAATGCATGAAAAGACATGGAGGATTCTTAAATGAACGTTAGTAAGTGAAAGGAGCCAATGTGAAAAGGCTACATGTTGCATGATTCCACCTCTATGACGTTCTGGAAAAGGGCAAACTGAGGAGGCAGTAGAAAGACCAGTGGTTCCCAGAAGTCGGGGGAGAGACACAGGGAGGGACAGAGCTGTGGGGCACAGGGGTGTTTAGGGCAGTGACACTGTCCTGTACGACACTGCAATGGTGGATTCATGCCTTTTACATTTGTCCAAACCCATAGAATGTACAACAGCAGGGGTGAACCGGAATGTAAAATAGGGGCTTTGGCTGATAACAGAGTGTCAGTGTAGGTTTGTGGTTTGTACCAAATGTCCCAGCCAATCAGAGGAGCCCATGGCCCCAACCCCGTTAGTCAGCACAGTGGACACTTTCCTCGTGTGTGACTGGGCCCCATTTGGGCCGTCAGAGACCAGGTTGGAGACCACTGGCTCTCCTGTGTCTCCAGGCTCGAGGCAGTTTCCTTAAATGAACCTTGGCTCTCTTTGCTGCAAACTCCTATTGGCGTTTGCTTGGGCTTTGATGTGCAGCCAAAGGAACCCCCTTTAGTCTGGTCACAGCCTGGCTCTGTCCAATGTCCTTTTCCAATGCAGGATGCGGGACACATTCTCTGTCAGGGAGGGTTCCAAAAGCCTATCCCACAATTCTCTACACAGACCTGCTGTCTGAAAGTTTCCTCCTTGAACTATGAGGAAAGGGGTGGACAAGACATGAGGTGTTAATTTGTTTTCCTCCTGGAGGACAAGGTGTGAGTGAGGAAGGCTGATTCTTCTGTGTGGGCTCCTGGCTTCTCCTCTCTCCCATGGAGGAATCCCTGCCTGGGACAGCAGGGGGCGCTGCAAGACAGCTCTGGAGAGGGTGTGCTGGGTGTGCCCTCAGCTGGAAACCCAGCCATCTGTTTGTACTCTGGGTGCCTCTGCCAGGTGCTGCCTGTGAACCGTGGGGAGTGTCAGACCCTGTCAGTCCAGGCCCCACCCTTCACAGGACCACTCCAGCAGAAGCAGCAGACACAAGAGTAGAAGAAGGGGCTGGGACCTGCAGTTGGAGGGACTTATTTGCATCAAGAAACCTCTTCCTCTGGGGCACAGGGAAAGATAAAATAGATCAGAGGTGCCCCCTGTAAGTGGAGGAACTCAGAAGGTGGAGCCTCAGCATTGTCCCTACCATGGACTGGACTCCTCTCCTCCTCACGCTCCTCACTCACTACACAGGTGCCTGGACCCTCAGGGTGGGAATGCGGCCCCAGGAGGACACACAGGCTGGGCCTGTTCCCCTGGAGTCCAGACTGAGTCGTTAGACCCTACTCACTGTCTCTGTCTTTCTTTCCTGTATCCCAGGGACCTGGGCCCAGTCTGGGCTGACCCAGGAAGCCTCAGTGTCGGGGTCTCCGGGTCAGACTGTCACCCTCACCTGCACTGGAAACAGCAATAATGTTGGATACAGTGGTGCAAGCTGGTACCAGCAGGTCCCTGGTGCTGTCCCCAAACTTCTCATCTATGGTACCAACAATCGACCCTCAGGGATCCCGGCTCGGTTCTCTGGCTCCCGTTCAGGAGCTAAGGCCACCCTGACCATCTCGGGGCTGCAGCCTGAGGATGAGGCCGACTACTACTGTCAGTCTTATGATAGTAGCTACAATCACACAGTGCTCCAGACTCTGGGGGAAGTGAGACCAAAACTCCCCAGGCCTCCCCGTCTTGGTCTGCCCTCATGGTTCCCCACCAAGGAGGGGCACTCTTTTCTGTCTCTTGCAGGAAAGTGTGTGTTAAGATTGTAGGTTTCTAAGTCCCTTTATTTTCTTTCCAAATTTTCCCCATGTGTGGATGATTGATTGCTATTTCTTTGCAATCTGTTCAGGAAGGTGAGTGAGTTCAGAACAAGGCAGCAGACCTTTTGCATTTCTGACAATGGGGCTGGAGCCGTTGCTTGCGGGGGGTCAGTTTTGTGCATGCGGAACAATGCGATGCATCCTTTGCACTCTGCACTCAACTGGGGATGGCAGTAGCAGCCTCTCCTGTAAGTCAGGACCCAGGAAACCACATGCAGACATTTCCAAATATGCCCTGAGCGGGCCCCATCATCTGAGCTTGAACCCCACAGGGTTAAAAGGATGTGTTCTCAGCTGTTAGGCAGCCTTCGCCTTTGAGTCCTGTTCTTCCCAGTCAGCTGGATAGAGACTAGAGGTCTCATCTCTCTGTGCCTCTGAGTTCCCATCTGTTAGACAAAACAATCCCGATGGTTCATGTGACATCAGAGCCTGTGACCTGGTCTTCTCTCACCCACAATGCAGTACAATTTAGGGCCGAACTCTGTGTGCAGTTAATATGTTGAAAATTTTTACAATGCACATACAACATGTGATATCTACCTTCATTTATTCTCTTAGGGAGTGCATTTCAAGCCTGAGATACAAAGATGACTGAACACATGACAGGGTCTTGTGCCCTTGGGGTCAGGTGTGTGTGGGTCCTGGAGCACAGACAGGAGCAGCAGGTGGGTGAGGAGCAGGCACTGAGGACAGAAGACAAGACCACCTCCATGAGCACGTAACCTGCCCAGGGCAAGGTGGTTGTTTGAGTGTCTGCTCACATTTCATTTAAATAACAGTCTGTAAGGCCATCATCATAAGAGACTAACTCACAACTCAAAATCCACCGTCTGATCAATAAAACATAATATTCATTTTCTTTACACAAAGTTTCACAATGGATTCTAGTGAAGAAACTCATAAATGAAGATCCATGGGTTTGAAATGTCTGTGTGAATGAGTCAGGATTCTGCCCTGTGACGTGGATGAAAGGAGCCAATAAGTGATGGTCTGAGGCCGTGTGTGCTGGTCTGGACTTCCTTCTGCTCCCACGTGTGACCTCTGAACCTCATGACTCCAAACACAGGAAGCCTGTTCCCCCTTCCCTCTCTCACTCAGCACAGCAGTCAGTCAGCTGATCATTGCAGTGATTTCTGTACACGTACATTCATGTGATGTGAGGTGGTGCTCCTTGCTGTCCTGTGCCAACATTTGGAGACATACATGGGTAATTATGCTAGAATACATGCTGATGAAGGGACATGTTGTGTGTTTCTGTTTTGTTTTCTTTTTTTTTTAAGATTTTATTTATTTAATTTTAGACAGGGGAAGGGAGGGAGGGAGCAAGAAAAAGAAGCATGAATGTGTAGTTGTCGCCTGAGCGCCCCCTACCAGAGACCTGGCCTGCACAGCAGGCATGTGCCTTGACTGGAAATCCAACCAGAGACCCTTTGGTTTGCAGGCTGGCACTCAGTCCACTGAGCCACACCAGCCAGGGCCTGTGAGTTTGTGTTTAAAAGTCAGTAGATACAGAGGATAGGAGATTAAATAGGAGGAGTCCCATGCATGGGGGTTGAGGTGGTGTAATTGATGCAGGCAGTTCTTTGAACTCTTCTCTATAGTTTGTGTGACTTCGACATTGTCATATTAATTCTCTTATTCTGCCCCTGATGACATGTGTGTGCCCTACTTCTACTGAGAGCCACTCAGATTTGGCCAAATGTGAGTTGTCACCATGAATTCAAGTTCAATCCTATTTCTCTCCAAAGATCAGAGTAACAGTCACCTTGAACACCATGATGGGAGGGGAGTCTGGGATCTGAAGTAACAGGGAGGTGGGGACTCGGAGGTTGAGAGCACATGGAGGGCTGTGTGGTGGGTGGAGAGGGCAGGCCAACAGGAAGCCCCCTGAGTGGAGGTCAGGATTTGGGGTTCTGTGCAAACAGCAGTGGGGAGACCCTGAGGGTTTTGAGCAGGGGGTGACCTGTCTGAGGTGAGAGAGAAAGATCCCTGGAGTGCCTTGAGAGCACAGCACCCCAGGTGAACAGGTGATCTTGGTCAGGGTCACTGAATATGAGTCCCTGTGAGTCTGGACATGTGGGGACCATGGGACTGTGGGCACAGGTAATGCAGAGGTGGATGCAGGCACAGAGGGAAGTGCTGGTCTCTGCCTCCAACCGACCAGACAGTCAGCACAGGTGCGAACGCATCTCACCCGAATGGTATCTTGTTACTGAAGTGAGACAATGAATAAGAAAGTTAAGGCAGTTTTGTTTAAAATAAAAACAAATGTGACATCACCTAAGAGAGAATCCTAACAAGAAACAATACATAGGTATGCAAAACAGTAAGAATAAAAAATGAGAGAAAACAAAGAAGACTAAAGATTAATTCCTAAAATGAATTAGGATGGTACACTTTCCACTGTTAAATGTGAGCCCTTCAAAAGACATTCTCTTTACCTATCACTCAGTCAAATAACATCTATGAAAACTGTGTGTGCATCACATGACTTGAGATGTTTGTTTAATAGGCCTCCTCTGCCCCTGCCCCTGAGTGTGTTCCTGGCAAATGCTCTGTGCAGTCTGGAAGAGCCTTCGAACCAGACGAGTGGTGTCCTCATCTGTGACATTGGATGTGAAGGTCACTGTGCATTTACTTTTGCAATATCATCACTGGCTGTGAAAATAAATTAATTTGTCATTTACGTAGAAGATAGCACCTCCCACAGTTTTGGATTCCTGGGAGTGGGATGCCACAGTAACCAGTACAGTGTCTCAGAGTCACCGTATCTGGGAACCAGACCCTGGATGTGATGAGACACTCAGTACCCTGCCCAGCTGCAGAAACCAACTTGAGCTTTGGGTCATGTTGGGAGGTGTTTGAACTGCCACCAGCAGGGGGCACTGAGGGACTGCCTTGTGGTGCCTACTAAGCTGCTCAGTAGGGACCATTCACTAATAGGAGCCTGGGTCTGGTGGTTGGAACCAGTGCACACTGACGGGGACTCAGCAGCTGTTTCCTCTGGGGCCTGATAGTATCCCCTGAGAAGGGGCCTCTGTGATGTCTCAATGGGTTATTCCCCTCAGGGGTCCCCCCAAGGGGTGAAGTCAGCCTCTATCTTCCTCAGTGTGAGTGTGAGCTGAACTCCAGCATCAGGGCGTTAGGAGGGGCTGGGCAGTCCCTGGGTGGACACTCATTTGCCTGGGTGGCCCCTCCCCTGGCAGAGCGTGGGGAGAAAAGGAGGCCTGGGCAGCCCAGCCCCACTGTGGGCTCAGGGGCTGTGTGCACCATGGCCTGGACCCCTCTCCTCCTCGTGCTCCTCTCTCACTGCTCAGGTAGGGACAGGTCTCGGGGACCAGGGCTCAGTTGCAAAGTTTATTCCCTTTCTGCTCCATCTCCTGAGAAAATTCCCCTGGTTCTGCCCCATCACTAACAAGTGTCTGTGTTTGCAGGTTCCCTCTCCCAGCCTGTGCTGACTCAGCCGCCCTCCCTCTCTGCATCTCTGGGAGCCACAACCAGACTCACCTGCACCCCCAGCAGTGGCTTCAGTGTTGGTGGCTATACGATAATCTGGTTTCAGCAGAATCCAGGGAGCCCTCCCCGGTATCTCCTGTGGTATAAATCAGACTCAGACAAGCACCAGGGCTCTGGGGTCCCGAGCCGCTTCTCTGGATCCAAAGACACCTCGGCCAATGCAGGGCTCCTGACCATCTCTGGGCTGCAGCCTGAGGACGAGGCCGACTATTACTGTGCTGTAGAGCATGGCAGTGGGAGCAGCTTAACTTACTCACAGTGGCTCAGATGCTGAGGAAGTGAGACAGAAACCCCTGGGCTCAGAGGTTATGCTCTGAGTCTCACTGCAGCTTTTGTGGAGGCCTCTGCAAGGTGGGCTCCTCTGCAGTCAGAAACGTCCATGGAAGGGGGCGGAGCAGCGCATAGTTATGAGTGAGAGCACAGGGCGTCCTGGGTCACTCTTGCTGAAGGGGTGACAAAGCCCGACTGATCATCCCCACAGAGTCTGGAGTAAATTTGAACAAGAATAATAGTTTTAAGTAAAAATTCGGTTCTTTCCTTCTGATGTGGTTTCAGTCAGAGCCTTTCACTTCTGACACTCTGGTCACCAAATACGTGGGGACATTTTGTTTACAACCAGCAAATCCCTGTGACAGCAGCTGGATGTCCCACCACACAACTCAGCTCCCACACGATCTGCCTGGAGATGGTGTCGGGTCCGCAATGAAGGGTTCCCTCCACGGGACTGCCCGCTCTTCAGGTGACGGTCACACGCAGGATGTGCTGAGGTCTCGTACATCTTCTTGGCTGTAAAATGAAGGTTTCTGTGGTCCCTCACTTTCGTTTCAATTAATTTGCTGACTCCACCTAAGCCCGTCTCTCTCCTCAAGGAAATGGGGCGCAGGCCTGAAAATTCCAAGCTTTGAATTGTGCCACTATCTATGAGTGAGCTGTTCTCCCTCAGGAGCCCACCCAGAGTCACCCCATTAGAACAATAGGTTGTCGGTCATCTAGGAAATCTGAGGGGTTCAGGAGTTCTGTTTCAGGGACCAGGGACTGAGACCAATATAGATTTTCTGTCCCCTCACAAAACTGTGTCTGCAACTACAAAGGATGACCAGTCAGTCACTGTCACCGCTCCAATTAACACCGTGATGTGTGAGTACTGTGTTACTCATGACGCATCACACTGACACGCTAATCTTGACCCTGGTCACAGACAGAGTTTTCTCCTTCTCTCAACACACCTGCGACTGCTGGTCAGAACCCAGGCAGACGTGCACTGCCCAGGCCCCGCCCACCACCCTCCCCTCTCTGCCCCTCTGCTGTCCCCTCTGGGCCTTCAGGATGAACTGGGTCTCCACTCCAGGGTTCCCGAGAAAAGTGAGGGGTCCTTTCCGTGGGTGTCACTCCCCAGGGCTCGGTCTCGAGGGAGGGGGATGAACAGACATCAATCCTCAGGAAGTTCCTCCACAATCTCATTTCCACGCCTCTCCCCAAACTGCAGCTGTCCACCCTCCTCCACCCACAGTCAGTCTCATTCACATGACAACACGAACCTTGATTGTCCTGAAAATGAAGTGTTCGTTTAACAGTTAAGTCTGTGCCCACAGGGGTTACTGAGGTGCTGGTGTTTCCTGCTGCAGAGTTACTGAGGCCTCACACGCCCACCTCTTCACAGGCACGTCCAGTGTGCCCTTGTCCCTGAGAAGATGTGTTTCCTGAGAACATCAGGATGAACCCGGCCACACACACTCATTTGTCTGGAGATGTCCCAGGCCTCAGTCCTTTCCCCAAATAAATGTGAACACTCTGTGTTGGTCACCCCCTGGGACGCACCAGGGACCTCAGGGCACTGTGTGGTGGGCGGTGGTGTCAGGGCAGAAAGAAGGGGCTGTGTGCACCCCTGACCTGGGCTCCCCGAGACCTGGGACCCCACGTCTGAGGACGCTGGGCCTGCGGGAGGGAAGTGCCCAGATTTCCCGCCCCCACAGGACCTGGACTCCGTGACGGGCAACGGTTACCAGAGCTGATCTGCTCCACATGCCTCCTTTCCCCTCCAATTCATCCTGGATCCAAGGAAGCGGCCTTCCACACCCTGGTCTCCTTAGTGCTGGGAGCCAGACCCTGAAGGGTCACACAGAGAACCCACCCCAAGGACAGGTTTGCTGGGAGAACGCCCTCAGGGGATGGAGAGGACTTGGGAGGACAGGAGGCCACTTGTCCTCAGGCTCAGAAGCTGAGGGAGAGGCTCCCTGAGGGTGTTGGGGAAAGTGTGTCTCTGTCTTACACACACACGCGCACACACACACAGACCCTCCTTCTACTCTGAGTGTATCTTCTTCTGGACTCTGCATTTCTTAGGCTTCTTTGTTTCTCTAGGAGTCAGGGTTCAACCACTGCTGACCCAGGTTCCTCAGGGTCAGCGTCTCCAGGAGACAGAATCTTCATCATCGGAAACAGCAGTGACATGAGTGTCCCTGGTCCTGTTATCAGGGCAGCGGGGAAATGCCCTGAACCCCGATCCCTGGGTGGACTCTGTGTTGTCTGTGTGTGGGCTGAAGGTTGCTCTGTGCCCGCATCACTCAGGTTATCCCGACTGTGCAGAGCAGACCTTCTCAGACGAGGCCCCTTCATGCCATTCAGAAGAGGCCAGGGCCTTCCCTCCTGAGCTCTGACTAGTTCCGTGTCCACCAGTGTGTGAGGCCCCAGTTTCCCACCACAGTGGTTCAGGAGGACTGATGCTGAGAGGACTGGGTGCCCCCCAAGCAGGTGAGGACCTGCCCACCCAGCCCTTGAACTTCAGCCCCAAGCCCCCGTGGACGTCTGCATCTGCACCTGTCACCCAATGCCCCTGACTGTCGCGTCCCTCACCTGACTTCTGATGCTGCTCATCTCCTCCTGTGCTTTCTGAACTTGTTGGTTTTCATGTCTCTGTCCAGGGTAACAGAAGGTATCTGTAAGCAAGGGACCCCTGTAGTAGGTAGAGGCGGTCAGGGGACTGAAGCAGAGTCCCCGCAGTGAGACCCCATGAGGAGGTCTGGCTGCTCCATTGGCGCTCCCCCTCGCCCACCTCCCCACACAGAGATCACTCCTGGGTGTCAGGGGAGCGAGCCCTGGAGAGCACAGGGTCCCTTTTCTCTGGGGCCAGGCGTCCCATGGGCTGTGACTCCAGACCCTGCAGTCAGTGTCACTCTGGGCTGTGTCTGAGGCCTGGTGCTTACTTGGGGCTCCACAGAGGTCATCACAGCCCGAACATTGGTCTGAGCTTCATTATTGCCTCTCCTGGGGACCTCAGCAACGTGGGTGGATGCTGTGGGAACTCGATTCAGCAGATCCTGGCAGGCGCCCTGGGCTGTGACAATGGAGGGTCCTGGATGCCCAGGCTCACAGCCAATCCTCAGCCTCCTTCCTGGCAGCTCTGGCTGCTGCTGGAGCTCATGGGCATCAGACAGACCCTCCCCTGTGCTGCCAGCCAGCCCCTCACATCCCTGTCCTGCTTGTGTCTGAGACTCTGCTGTCACACTCACTCATCATGCCCCCACCACATACACAGAGTGAAGAGGGACTCTGGGTGGGTGTGACACAAGGCAGCCCTTCCTCACCCAGAGCAGTGGGACCCTGGTGACCTCCTCAGAGCCCTGGCACCTGAGTCAAAGCTTGAGGGTCAAGGTCAAGCAGCCTCACGTTCCTGAGGAAAATTAGGTTCTAGGTCACCCTGCGACATTCCTGGGTCCTTAGGAGTCCCAGGTTTCTGTGGCCTCACCTGGGGCAGCTATAGCTGAGGCTCAGGAGGAGGGAAAGGCCCATCTTCTTCACCCACAGTCACGAGTGCCCCCTGCAGGCCTGGACACATGCTGGCCCTGCTCTGAGGGAGAGGGACCATCCTGGAACCAGGGCAAAGGAGAAGGCTTGTACCACATGTCTGACCTGCACAGTGTGGCTGTGCTCTGACTCGGTCAGACTGATCACAGTACAAAATGCTGTGGACAGGTATTGATTGTGTTCCACGTGAGGTTTTCCCTCCATCTCCTGCCATTAGACTCTGAGGCTCAGAGAGTATGAATCAATCACATGGGATCCCCACAAGTCGGGCTCCCATTGGTCTGGGGCTCAGTCCCTCCCGACCCCAGGGAACAGATTGTCACCCCAGGGCAGAGGCTGACCCAGGACACGGTCTGACCAGCTCCCCCTGGGTGGCCACACTGTCCTCTCTACTTGGGTCTCATGAACTTCATTGTGACAATTTCCCCTCTTACACTTCTCATCTGTAGCCACCTCGTGTGTCACAGGTGACAGTGATCTCAGCCGTTTATATCCAAGACAGCCCCCAAGACAGTGTGACTCAGAATTGTAGGGAGACACGGGTAGGAGGCCCAGCTCAGCTGCACTCAGGAAGTCCCTAACATAGGGACCTGTGTGACAGCTGTGCTGGAAAGACCTGATGGTTTCCCAGGACACAGACACAATGTCTGTGGCGTCCCCCACAGGGCAGTCATATAACACAGTCTAGTCAGGCCTGGGGGACCCAGACATCACGGCCCTTTAAGCCCTGCCTCGCACAGAAATGTCTAGGGGATCATGGCAGGTGCAGAGCCTCAGCAAACGGTGTCAGTCAGAGCCAGTCGTGCAGCTGCTCTGGGAGCTGAAAGAGGGAGGGACAGGTTTTCTTAATCATTCATTGTCCCTGTTCATGCTGCGGTCCAGGCCGTGTGCACTCAGGGGACACCCCATGACTGTATCAGGTGCCCTGGGCCCTCCCTCCTCCACCCTCCCATGGGCTGTCCTGTTGAAGATGACAAACCCACCCTGTAGAGTCCCCATTGTCAGCCCTGGTTCATCTCAGGACTGCGGGTCCTGTCTGCCCTTGGGAGGGCAGCTTCAGGAAAAGTTCTCTGGCTCCACCCCCACCTCCTCCAGCGCTGTCCCCCTGACCACCTCCAGGCTGCAGCCTGAGGCCGAGGCCAATGCCCTTCGTCTCTCTCATGGCAGTGGCTGCAAGTTCACCGTGCCCCAGACTCCCGGGGTTGTGACAGCAAAACTCCCTCGGGCCTCCCTGTCCTGGGTCTGCCCTCCCTGGTCCCCAGAGTGGAGGGTTGACAAAGACCCCTTGAGTGCCTTGAAGGCACAGAGCCCAAGGTGAGCCAGTGCTCCTGGTCCTGGCTATTGACTAAGAGGCCCTGTGAGAGTAGACGTGTGGGGGCCGTGGGACCGTGGGCCCAGGTGAAGCAGAGCCGGATACGGGGCACCGAGAGGAAGTGATGCTTTGTGGATCGAATTCATTGCCCAACATTCAGCAGCACATCTTCCAACAGGTCACAACCTCACTTTCATCTGGCTACTAAAACAGGCAATGAATAAGAAAATGACAGTAGGAAAAGTATTGTTTAAAATATATACATTTTTTAGGCCACCTAAGACTAAATTGTAGCCAAAAACACAACAGAGGTATGTGGAACACCAATAATAAAGAATAAGAGGAAACTACAAATAAAAGTTAATTCCTAAAGTGAATTAGTGTGCTACACTTTTCAGTATTAAATGTAAAGCCTCTTGAAGCCACTTTCTTTATCAATCATTGAATCAAGTCAGATCTATGAAACCTTACATGCATCCCATGAATCGAAATGCTTGCTGAGTCGGCCTCCTCTGCACATGCCTCTGTGAATCCCGGAAAACTACTTCAAACCAGATGAATGGTCCCCTGGTCTGTGACATTGGACATGCAGGCCACTTTGCATTTACTTTTGGACATCTTTACTGGAGTTGAAGCAAATTAATTAGCCATAACAGTGCATGTTTTCACCTCTCAGAGAACCAGACCCATGGGGTGAGATGCTATAGTAACCACCAGTTCAGTAACCATCAGAGTCACAGTATCTGGGAGCAGACCCTGGATGTGTGAATAGAGTCAGTGACCTGCTGAGCTGTAGAGACCAGCTGGGCTCTCAAGGCCTTGGGTTGAATGGGGAGGTGTAGCCACTGCCACCAGTAGGGGGCACTGAGGGACTGCCCTGGGGGTGTCTATCAAGCTGCTCATCAGGGACCATTCACTCCTAGGAGGATGTGTCTGGGGTCTGGGCCTTGAGCTCACAGATGGGGACTGAACAGCTGTGTCCGTCCTGGCATGGCAGAGTCCCCTGAGCAGGGTTCTTAGTGTTGTTTCCAGATGTACTTCCCCACAAGTTGCTCCCAAAAGGTGAAACCAACCTCCATCCCTCTGTCTGGGGTGTGAGCTGAGCTCCAGCACCAGGGCTCAGGGAGGGTCTGGGCAGCCCCTGGATCAACACACATTTGCATGGACAGCCCCTCCCCTGGCAGAGGGTGGGGAGAAAAGGAGGCCTGGGCGGGCCAGCCCCACTGTGGGCTCAGGGGCTGTGTGCACCATGGCCTGGACGCCTCTCCTCCTCGTGTTCCTCTCTCACTGCACAGGTAGGGACAGGCCTCTGTTCCCCAGGTTACACTCTTCATGTTCTATCTCCTGGGTAACTCTTCCTGGTTCCTGCCGCATCAGTGAGAAGTGTCTGTGTTTCTCCAGGTTCCTTCTCCCAACCTGTAGTGACTCAGCCGCCCTCCATCTCTGCATCTCCGGGAGCCACAGCCAGACTCACCTGCACCCTCAGCAGTGACACCAGTGTTGGCAACTCTGTTATATCCTGGCACCAGCAGAAGCCAGGGAGCCCTCTCCGGTATCTCCTGTCCTACTACTCAGACTCAAGCAAGGACCAGGGCTCTGGGGTCCCCAGCCGCTTCTCTGGATCCAAGGATGCCTCGGCCAATGCAGGGCTCCTGACCATCTCTGGGCTTCAGCCTGAGGACGAGGCCGACTACTACTGTCTGTCTGTTGATAGTAGTGGTAATCACACAGTGCTGCAGACTCAGGGGGAAGTGACACCAAAACCCCCAGAGCTTCCCTTTCTGAGTCTGCACTCAGCCTGTCCCCACTAAGCAGAGTGCTGTTTTCTGTCTCCTGCTGGAAAGTTTGTGTTGAGATTGCAGGGTTCTGAGTCCCTCTATTTTCTTTCCAGCTTTCCCCCTTTCAGGGAGTTTGGTTGCCTGTTTTCTGTACAATGAATTCCTGAGGGCGAGTTAGTTCAGAGCGGAGTGTGTGAGCCTGTGTGTTTGTGGAATGCGGCTGGGTCAGTGCTTGTGAGGGTTCTGCTCTGTGCATGTGGGACACTCAGATGCATCCTTTAGACTCTGTTCATAGATGACAGTGACACCCTCTTGTTAAGTTATGACTTATGAAACCACCTGAAGATTTTCAGATATGCCCTGAGGGGCCCCAGTGACCCCCATGGTAAGACCTTGGGGGTTAAATGAGCATGTTCTCAGCTGTTAGGCAGCCTTTGCCTTCGAGTGCTGTTCATGCCAGTCAGCTGGACAGAGACTAATGTGCTGTCTCTCTGTGCTTCTGAGTTCCTGTCTGTTAGACAAAGGTGTTACACAAACTTACATGAAGTCAGAGCCTGGAACATAGTCAAGTGGAACATTCTCTCAATCAGGGTGAAGGACAGGAGGAGGACAGCTAGTGGAGGGAGGGTGAGGCCAGGGAGTGAGGTGATTTAGCCAAAGGAAAGGACTCATGGGCATGGACATCAGTGTGGTGATTGCTGAGGTGAGGAGGGTGTAAGGGGCATAAATGTTAATGGAAACTAATATAATAAAGATTGAATGAAACAAACAAAAAATGAAACAGAAATCCATAAGTGAAGTATAATTTTTTGCCAAAATACATATGCAGTTAATATATTGAAATTTTACACATTGCAGATAACACATTTCATATGTTTTCATTTGCTCCCTTAGGGAGTGAATTTCAAGCCTGAGACACAAGGTGAATGAACACATGACAGGGTCTCGTGCCCTCGGGGTCAGGTGTGTGTGGGTCCTGGAGCACAGACAGGAGCAGCAGGTGGGTGAGGAGCAGACACTGAGGACAGAAGACAAGATGACCCCCATGAGCATGTGACCTGACCAAGGGATGATGGTTGTTTGAGTGTCTTCTCACATTTCACTTAAATAACGGTCTGTGAGGCCATCATCACCAGAGACTAACTCACAACTCAAAATCTACCATCTGATCTGATCAATAAAACGTAATATCCATTTTCTTTACTCAAAGTCCCACAGAGGACTGTAGTGCAGAATCTCATAAATGAAGATCCATGGGTTTGAAGTGTCTGTGTGAATGAGACAGGACTCTGTCCTGTGACGTGGGTGAAGGGACCTGATAAATGATGGTCCGAGGTTGTGTGTGCTGGTCTGGACTTCCCTCTGCTCACACGTGTGACCTCTGAACCTCATGACTCCAAACACAGGAAGCCTGTTCCCCCTTCCCTCTCTCACTCAGCTCAGCAGTCAGTCAGCTGATCGTTGCCGTGATTTCTGTGCACGTACATTGATGTGGAGGTGGTTGGGACCCGTTGCTGTCCTGTGCAGAGTTTGGGGACGTAAATGATATTTACGCTACAACATGTTCTGATGAGGGTCGTGGTGTGTGGGTGTGTTCTCAGCGTCAGTGAGGGAGCAGAGAAAGAGGTGCAGGGAGTACAGGATTGGACAAGGGGTGTCCTTTGGAGGGTGGATGAGGTTGTATCATCCATGCAGGCAGCACTTTGAACTGTTTCATGTAGTTTGTATGACTTTCACATTGCGATATTCGTTCTGTAATTCTGTCTGCAATGACGTGTGTGTCTACTACTGAGGGCCACTCAGAATGACCGAAATATGAGTGTTACCATGATTCAAGTTTAATCCTATTTCCTTCCTAAGGACAGCAGAGGACATGTCAACACTATGAAGGGACAGGAGTCAGGGGGCAGAAGTAACAGGGAAGTGGGGAAGTCGGACGTCTGAGAGCACGTGGAGGTGCTGTGTGATGGGTGGGCACCATCGGGAAGCCCCCTGAGGGGAGCCCAGGGGCTGGGGTTCTGTGCAGACAGTAGTGAGGAGTCCCTGAGGGTTTTAAGCAGGGGTGACTTCTCTCAGGTGAATGAGAAAGGCCCCTTGAGTGCCTCGAGGATGCAGGGCCCGAGGTGGGCAAAGGATCCTGGCCAGAGTCATTGACTAGGAGTCCCTGTGAGTCTAGACATGAGGGGACCATGGGGCTGTAGGCACAGGTGCAGCAGAGGTGGACCTGGACACAGAGGGACGTGATGGTCTCTGCCTCCAACTGCCCAGACACTCAGTACAGGTGCCAGACACCCAGTACAGGTACCGACTGGTATCTTGCTACTAAAGTGAGGCAATGAGTAAGACAATACAGGCTGGGAAAGTACTGTTTGCAATATAAACACATTTTAGGGCTCCCAAAGCAAATATTTAACCAGAGACACATGACACAGGTAGGCAGAACACTAAGCAAAAAAAATAAGAGAAAACGAAGAGTAAAAGTTAATTTGTAAAATGAATTAGCATGTGACACTTCCCACTGTTAAATGGGAGCCCTTCAAAAGCCATTCTCTTTACCAGGCATTGAATCCAATCAGATCCGTGAAAGCTGTACAGGCATCACATCACTTGAAAGGTTTGCTGAGCTGAGCCTCCTCCGCACGTGAATCTGAGTGTGTTCCTAGAAATTTCTCTGAAAAACCCACATGAGTCCTTCCATCCAGATGAATATGCCCCTAATCTGTGACATTGGACATGAATCTTTGAATTTACTATTACAGCATCTTTACTGAATGTGAAATAAATTAAGTTGTTACTCCCATACATGTTTGCACCTCATACAGTTGTGGATTCCTGGGAGTGAGATGCACCAGTAACCAGTACAGTGTCTCAGAGTCACAGTATCTGGGAACCAGACCCTGGATGTGTGAAGAGAGTCAGTGACCTGCTGAGCTGCAGAGACCAGCTGGGATCTCAGGGTTTTGGTCCTTGAAGAGGTGAGTGCTCTGCCGTCTTAAGGGGGCGCTGTGGGACTGCCCTGGTGTGCCTACCAGGCTGGTCATGGGGACCATTCAGTCCTGGGGGGTGGGCCTGGAGGATGGGCCCTGTGCCCCCTGATGGGGACTCAGCAGCTGTGTCCTCTCAGGCCTGGCAGAGACTGCAGAGCAGGGACCTTTGTGTGGTCTCAGCAGGTGCTTCCTCCCAGGGCTCTCCCAAGGGGTGACACCAAGCACTATCCTCCTCGGTCTGGGTGTGAGCTGAGCTCCAGCACCAGAGATCAGGGAGGGGCTGGGCAGCCTGTGGAAGGACACACATTTGCATGGACAGCCCCTCCCTTGGCAGAGGGTGGGGAAGTAAAGGAGGCCTGGGCAGCCCAGCCCCACTGTGGGCTCAGGGGCTGTGTGCACCATGGCCTGGACTCCTCTCCTCCTCCTGCTCCTCTCTCACTGCACAGGTAGGGACAGGCCTTGGGGACCAGGGCTCAGTTCCCAAATTTATTCCCTTTCTGTTCCATCTCCTGAGAAGGCTCCCCTTGTTCTGGCCCATCACTGACAAGTGTTTGTGTTGCTGCAGGTTCCCTCTCCCAGCCTATGCTAACTCAGCTGCCCTCCCTCTCTGCATCTCCTGGAGCCACAGCCAGACTCACCTGCACCCCCAGCAGTTGCTTCAGTGTTGGCAGCTACTACATAAACTGGTTGCAGCAGAAGCCAGGGAGCCCTCCCCGGTATCTCCTACAGTATAAATCAGAGTCAGAGAAGCACCAGGGCTCAGGTGTCCCCAGCCGCTTCTCTGATCCAAAGATGCCTCGGCCAATGCAGGGCTCCTGACCATCTCTGGGCTGCAGCCTGAGGACGAGGCCGACTATTACTGTGTTATATTTCATGGCAGTGGGAGCATCTACAGTGACTCACTGTGGCTCAGATGCCGAGGAAGTGAGACAGAAACCCCTGGGCTCAGAGGTTATGCTCTGAGCCTCACTGAAGCTTCTGTGGGGGCCTCTGCAAGGTGGGCTCCTCTGCAGTCAGAAACGTCCATGGAAGGGGGCGGAGCAGCACACAGTCATGAGTGAGGGCACAGGGTGTCCCCGGGTCACTCTCGCTAAAGGGGTAGCAAAGCCCAACTGACTGTCCCCACAGTGTTGGAGTAAATTTGAACAAGAACAATAGTTTTAAGTAAAAATTCATTCCTTTCATCCTGTTATGTCTTGTTTTGCAGTCAGGACCCTTCACTTCTGACACTCTGGTCACCAAATGTGGGGCATTTTTTTTTTCTGTAAGGAATTCCCTGTGACAGCAGGTGGATGTCCCACCACACAACTCAGCTCCCACACGACTGCTGGGAGACGGTCCAGGTTCGCAGGGAAGGGCTCTGTCCCAGATCCTGGTCACAAGCAGAATGGCCCAGGTGTCATTAATGCATTGGATATAAATGGAAGTTTCCCATGTTCCCTCACTTCATTGGAATTAATTTGCTGACACCACCTGAACTCTTCTCCCCCCTCAAGGAAATGGGAGGCAGGTGTGCAAATTCTAGGCTTCATATCCTGCCTCTGTCTATGAGGGAGCAGTCCTCCCCCAGGAGCCCACCCCCAGTCACCTCATTGGAACGAAAGGAGCACCTATCACCCAGGATATTTCATGGTGAGGTGCTCTGTGTGAGGAACCACGGCTAGAGACCAATATAAATTCTCTATTATCTCACAGCTCTGTGTCTGCAACTACAAATGATGACCCTGACAGTCATTGTTACCAAATCAATTTTATAATTCAGAATCTCGTGTTACTTCTGGAACAACCCCGCAGTCCCAGGCCCTTCAGCCTGACCCTGGACACTGGGCTCTTGGGTGCCCTCCATGACTGGTGACCTCATGACTGTCAGTGGGTTCTCCTGAGCCCACAGGCACTCACTGTCCCCCTGTCCTCTCACACTTCCCTGGGCTCCCCAGCCATCCAGGCTGTGGGGCATCAGGAGCAGGAAGTCCCCAGTGTGTGCCTGTGTTTCCTCCCCCATGTAGCTGCTGATGAGCCCAGACCCCAGGTGAGCTTCTCCTGCAC